TCTCTCATCCTCTTTAACGTACCTGTGAGCACGGATAGCTTGCTCGAACAACGGGCCCTGTTTGATCAGGAACAGTGGTCCAACCTGTGTGGCAAACTAGGTCTGAACATTAGTTCAGCAAAACTGTGCAGACTGTACAGGGGTGTCCACACGCCTCAGGGTAAGCCACCCCCATTACGGGTTACACTGGACTCAGCCGAAGAGGCCGAAAAAGTACTGCTAATGGCTCAGGTACTAGCCCTGGACAGAAGTTCTAACATAAGAGCGCGGCAAGATAGACCATGGGCCGTCAGAAATATGGCGAGGGAGTCACCGGAACTGATGCCTTCCACCTCTATGGTGGTACACGGTGTTCCGGAGCTGGAAACCGGCACTGCTTGTGAAAAACACATGCACGACGTACAACAATGGAGATGGCTGTCATCTCAGATGGCCCCTGGCGCTTCTGGAGCCATCTCCATTTTCCGACTACCTCGTCCCGCTCATCTAACATTGATTAACTCTCCAAAGCTGCTGTGTGTCACATTCAACTCCCCGGAGCAGTTGTCCATATCACTTCAACGGTGGTATGAGACCAAGGGAAAAATTGGAGGACACATCCGATGCTGTGAAAGCAGACCCAGAAATATAAGGAGGCAGCAAACTGAGGCTTTAATACGACCCCAAGCTTCGGTGACACTAGAGCGATGCAGCTCTGAGAATAATAGTCTGTGTCTCCCAAGTGTCCTGCCTAAATCCATTGAAAAAAACTACAACGGGCCGGTTCTATCGGAATCGGCCAACTAGTTCCAACATCAAGTCCCCCACCAGCAGACGGTTTCACGTCAACTACCCCACAACACTCTGAGGTTGTTAGACTCACTGTCAGTTGCCTATATAGCAATGTGAGGGGGCTGAGAGGGAAAGTAGGTGAACTTCGAAATCTCCAAGCGCACCTTCAACTGAAAATAATCATTCTTACTGAAACGTGGCTAAACCCCACTATCGCCGACAATGAAATCAGTATAGGTGATATGGTACTGGTCAGGAGAGACAGGGATAATAAGGAAGGAGGGGGAGTTGCTATATACTTTGATAGGCAACTTAAATGTGTGCGCGCAACGGACCCACCACTTATCGAACTCCCAGACTCCATATGGTGTCATTTCACCGTAGGCCACACCAAGCACTTACTGGGTGGCATCTACCGATCTCCCACCTGTGGGGCAGAGCACAATCAGCTACTGCTCAGCACTATCACAGGAATACGAGATTTGGGCTACGACCAAATCACCATAGCTGGAGATTTCAATGCTCCATCACTGAACCTCGGCTCCGGGTGTGCTAAGGGAAAATTTGGCCGAAACCTACTGCAAACTATTCGAAACACGGGACTGACTGAGAATGTTGGAGACGACACTAGGTGGGGCCCTAGTGGAAAGTCATCAAAACTAGATTATATTCTAACTAGTGACCAGCTACTCGTCGAAAAGGTCCAGATCATGACTCCTCTGGGAAGCAGTGACCATGCAGTCATAGGTTTCGATCTTGTCCTCCGTGAGCGTTTGCAATGGGATGTTACGCGACCATGTCTGTGCTACAGCAAGGCTGACTATGCTGAAATGCGGAGGCTCTTGTCCGACGCAGACTGGCCCTTAGCATGGGACGACCTATCTGTGGATGAACACTGGGAAGTGGTAAAAAAGATTATCCATGCAGCAATCTCGGATACCGTCCCTTTAGTCACAACACAGCCTAAGAGAAAGACGTCATGGTTGAAGAGAGGCACGCAACGTATTCTGCAAGCAAAGCGGAGGGCTTGGTTTACGTGGCGTGTATCTAAGAGTCAGACCGACCATGATGCATACCTCGAACTCAGGAACCGGTGTAATGCAAGAGTTAGGAGGGACAGAAGGTCATTCCAGGCTAACCTTGCTAAAAAACTCCTATCAAACCCTAAAAACTTGTACCGATTCATGTCGGAAAGAAAACCGACAAACCAAGGGGCATGCGCCTTAGTAGGCCCAAACGGTCAATATCTCACTAGTCTGGAGATGGCTGAAACATTCAGTTCAGCCTTCGCTAAACAGCTAAACAGCAATGTGGATATTACAGTTACGGACCAAAATGGTGGCACCACTATTTCAGAGGAGGAAGACCTAGCGACTACTCCCCAAATAAACCCCGCAATAGTACTAAGGAAGCTACAGAGACTCATACCTGGGAAGTCCCCAGGTTGTGATGACATCAGGCCATCTGTTCTGAAACAGTGCGCCGAGGCTCTCTGTAGACCCCTGTGCGACTTGTTCCAACACTCAATGGATTCGGGGACCCTGCCAAGGGAGTGGAAAAGAGCCATCCTTTCTCCGATCTTCAAGGGTGGGGACAGGCAAAACGCTGCTAGCTATAGACCAGTAGCTCTACTCCCAGTGGTATCAAAAGTACTGGAAAGTATTATTGACGACCACATCAGGGAATATTTCGATAGGACTAATATACTGCATGAAGCCCAACATGGTTTCAGAAAAGGCAGATCCTGCGTCACTAACCTACTGTCAGCTTGGGACGACTGGACATCATGCTGGGACTTGAACGTACCAGTCCATGTGGTCTTCCTAGACTTTGAGAAGGCATTTGACACTGTTCACCATGACCTTCTCCTACATAAAATAAGACAGGCAGGCATAGGTGAGCCACTTCTGTCATGGTTGAAGGACTACCTAGCCGACAGGCAATTTTGCACTAAGGTTAACCGAGTCCGATCATCTTGGCACAGATCGTCATCAGGAGTGTCGCAGGGTTCTATCCTAGGACCACTGATGTTTTTGATTTTCATCAATGATCTACCACGCCGTCTGAGCTGCCCGACTCTCCTGTACGCTGACGACGTAAAAATATGGAGGGCGATAAAGTGTCCGGAGGACTCAGATAGGCTACAGGAAGACCTAAACCTTCTGGAAGACTGGGCGGTGGCCAGTGGCATGACTTTCAACTTGAAAAAGTGCAAAGTAGTGAAGTTGCGCACCTGTAGACTGCAGAATGCAAGTTACACCCTGTGCAATGAAAGCTTGTCCTGCACAACGTCGGAACGCGACTTAGGTCTAGTTCTAACGGAAAAAATGGACACAAGCGTAAATTACACAGGGGATGTAGCGAGGGCATATGCGGTCATACACTTTACGCATAGACAGTTAGGTGCACTCACTCCTGAGCTCTTTCTAATGTTGTACAAAACATACGTCAGGCCACACCTTGAGGTGCATAATATTATTGCACCCCCAATGCTGAGAAGAGATGCCAACCTCTTGGAGAGAGTCCAACGACGGGCAACAAAAGGAGTGGTTGGTCTCCGAAACAAACCATATGATGAAAGGCTGAAGAAATTAGGCCTGTTCACACTTAGTTACCGTCGGCTTAGGGGGGATTTGATTACTGCCTACAAAATAACAAATGACCAGAATCACCCAAACAAAGGTGTTCTGCCATTGAGTAGGTATAGGCTTCCACGTGGAAATCCCAGAAGGATAGCTCACCAGAGGGCAAGGACCCGGGTGCGCTCCCACTTCTTTTCACTGCGGGTTTGTCGTCCCTGGAATTCCTTACCGGCAGATGTAGCTATGGCACCGTCTTTGGACGCCTTTAAGCGAAGGCTGGACAACCATGCAGCGATACAAGGACTGCATCCAAATGGCCTATCTCCTTAAAATCGCATTTACCAATCAGGGTAGATAATTAAACTCGTCATTTTACTTCTTTACATTCTCTCCCGTCTTACTCTCCTGACAACTTATTAATATTATAATTACTATTATTATTATTATTACTATTACCGATATATATATTATTCTTCAAACTTCATGAGCTGACTGTTGTTACGTTTCCTATTTTCGTTTCTGTCTCTTAGTCTGAATAGCTTCACTAATTATATCTATTATTATTATTATTACTATTATTATTACTATCTCTTTTCTCTTGTCGACAATACCGAAGGACTAACTGGCGAAAGGATCAACTCCAATCACAGTAGTAACAGTCTTAACATACCTCATACTACAAACCACATATAATTAATCCCAGCACTACTCCCTTTGGAGTCAACCAAAGCTACGACAGTCGAGTGGCGGGACAAGCTACGCAGAAGTTTACCGAAGATCAAGAACCTATACCTCACAATCAAGAGGCGAGCACAAAGAAATCAAATTGGTTTATACTAGCTCGTAAAAACGATATTGGATATTGGATATTGGATTGTGTCTAGAGGTTGTCTGCCCTATTATTCAAAAAATAAACGAAAACCTCGCTGGGAATTTTCTCTAATAAGTGCAATAAACGAGTCAGAAAACTAAAATGAAATATGTAGTAATTCAAACACTTTTGGCTGCTTGGCCTCAAAAAACTAGAGAGTGTATGTTTCATTCGCAAACCAAACAATGTACAGATAAATTCAACCTTCTGGTTTACATACCATTTTCCGAGAGCGCTAACCAGTGTGCTTGTATGGGACTTTCTAGCAAGCTTAGCAACAGCACAAGTGTTTGAATAAAAGTCCAGGTTTATGAGATGATAGTGTAACAGTATATCATTAAAAGTACAGTAATGAGTTATATACACTAAGTGCTTACTTGGTTATACAGTTAAGGTCCACTGCTACAAATTATTAATATAATGCACAGGCGTTCACTGCTGGAGTCGTGTCTACTGGTAGAAGCTGTGCACCGGTTGAAGAATAGTCTTCGGATGAGGGCAAGAGGTTCCTGCAAAATCCAAAGTATACAACATGGTCAGTAGTGAAACAAGTAGACAGCATAGGCTAGTGAGAAGACGAAGCGACAAGAAGCACACCGTATTCCAGATTGTACTTGGGAGTTAAGTTTATTTTAACACTAACCGATTTAAAAAAAGTTAGGTACAATGCTTCTAATTTTAAAATCCAACAAAAAAGTACAATTGTGTTGTGACAGTCCTTGCATGTTACATTTTCCAATGTCCATATTCCGGCTGGTTCGTTTAAACCAGTCATGTAAACAAGCAAATACTTGAATTTGTTGCGTTACGGTTGATATCGTGTTTCCGTAATTATTTTAAAAATCAGGTGTTCGTAACACTGTTATTGAAGCACATGATTCCTTTTGATTGACAATTTATTATTGACAACGAAAAATATGGATTTATTATGTATTATGGCGCCATGAATCATTGCTATTTAATGCATTTTGATAATGTGATGAGATAACATACATTGTTTTCAAACAGCTGTTACATTAGATGACGCTCAAGTTTAGTGGAACTTACAATGTTGAGGCTGCAGAGCAGGTTGATAGATCGGTTTACCAGAATTCCATCACATGTAATATTTGGCTGCTGGATTCTACAGCTGTCGCATTTAGAGTTGATGTAAGACTATTACAGTAAATCTTATGGATTTTTAGAAACGATGCATTGGTCAAGCACTTCTGGATTTGACATTTGATTATCTTGAGCTACTTGAACGGGATTTCTTCGGACTTGTATTTACAATTTTTGAGTCAGAGGAAGGAAACTTAATTGTAAGTTGCATCATTTAAAACGTAATTTTGTATTATTCCATAGTTTTCAGATATACATCTCATGTAAAAGTAGATGTTATGAAATGTTAGGTCCGATTTTTTAGTGTTTATTTGCTTACTGTTATATGACCACATTCCACATATATCTCTGATTATCTTTTTGATTTGAAGTTTGTAAAACATGCAATTTTACTCCTATTGAAGTCGTTACTTTAATTTTCTCATTTTGAATGCATACAACATATCGCTGAAATTCAGTTTTGTATATATCTTGTCTTTTTGGATTAATTTTATCGCAAAATTAACTAACATTTAGGGTTTTGAATATTATGGCAAGTGAACTGGTAGTTTATTGTCGTAGGTCCCTATTCGCACAATATCTCAGAACTTCCTTTTTATTTAATGCACTCACCCTTAACGGTAACAGCATAGAAACAAACGTTTAATCAACTGGTAAGGCATACAATATGAACTAATTGTTTTATTTGATTATGAAGATGAAATGAAATATAGGTCACAACTTTATGGGTGTCTGTACACAAAGGTTTCACTTACATATTTTTGGTGTCAATTTTTGGGAATGTTCGATATTTTAGCAGAAATGTTATGTAGCTTAAACTTCCCGAAAATGCACTTTGCTTGAGTTTCATCCATACGATAGTTTATTCTTTTAAATATGATATATCTTACTGATAGATTTCATATTTTTGAACCTAGAATAAACCGTAGTCTTTCAGAGAATATATCTGTGCCTCATTGGAATGTTAAAACTTAATTACTGATTAACTTAATAATGGGTATTTCATATAGACAGAACGCAGTTATCTTTATGAAAAAATACCTAAAATTACCGCATTTTAGTTGTGTGAGTCAGGCTACGAATACTTTCTGAAAACTTCGAACTTCTCCATAGTAGATTATGCTGAATAAAATTCTATGTTTGTTGTTTATACCCTTGTCTCAATAAAATGAATTTAGCTATATTACTGTCTTCCATTTCAGAAATGGTTGGATCCGACAAGAAGGATAAAGAAACAATGTAAAGGTAAGAAATTCATCACTTACCAAACAAATCACTCGTTACTTCGACGTTTTTCGGTGAAAAGTTTTTAAATCAGACAAATATCATGTAAATAGAGTATATTTCAAACTAAGTGAAATACATGTCGTAAACTGGTACACATCAAAGAATTAAGCACGTTCAACTAAGAAAGCTCACTGAATGGTTTTTTTATTGTGGTAGACAAGAATTATTTCTGTAATAAAATGTGCAAATACAATGAGTAAAACCTCAAATAAAACTATTTCTTGTTGGTTTCCTTCTTAAATACATTGATTTACAAAATTCTAACTAAAAAGTATTAAGTATCCATAAACCTGGTTTGCAAAGGTATCTCAAAACTAACTGGTGTTCAGAACTACAGAGTTCTATTAGGCTGAAATTCGTTGACAGCTATAGTTAGCTGGCATTGGTTTAAACAACCCTGCAGTCCTTTTTCTAAATTTATCAACAAAAATATGATTGAATACAACTCGTTTACTGGCTTTGTTGGGTGTAATTTGAAGAGGTACGGCCTGCAATATACAACCAGTCAGCAAGCAGGTGTAGCCGAATTCATTCGAATACTTTAATACACTTTATTTTCACCTAAACCTTTTCTGAAAAGTGTTTCCAAAAGAAATCAGTCCTTCTTTCTGAGACGTTAGCGGATTGTCCCCACCTTCTGTTTGTCTGTAAGAACTTGTTGTCTTCATCAATAGAGCAACACAGTTGGAGAGAAAATCATCATGTTCATTGTGAACGGTTAATTACAGGTTTAGCAATGTAATTTTTGAAGCCTATCTTCAGATGATTGTTACAAATGACTGTTTGTATGAAGTTGGAAAAACTGACTTTATTTGACATTGTAAGGAAGGCTTAATGGTCTTGACAGAATGCATGTCAATTTCATTTCATGTAATGCACAACTCATTTCTCCCAGAAGAATGTTCATGTGCTAGGTTTTCTATTCAAAACCTTGAATTTAAAGTCAACCTTATTTTTTGAACTTCTGATTTTATGTTTGATTCTGTGCTAATTAAACAAATCTGAAATAGCAAGGCAATCATGAAATCTTTTATTCTGGTAATGTGTAATTTCACAAGAAAACATATCCAGACATAACACGGCATTACTGTATGGCAATTCAACCAGATCAACGAGGGACCTACAACATAAATGGAAAAGGAATTACAATAAATAACTTAGTGAACGTTCGTAGTGTTGTAAGACAAAAAGTAGAGAACAACAAGATGAGATATGAAAAGTCAGATGAACTTAAACTGTTGTGGATTTTCATCACTGCACTCAATTTTAAATTATACCATAATGCCTATATTAACCAGTTACAGTTGTCAAATCAACCTAGTAAAACAGATTCATAACTAGCATGTTCCTGTATTATTATCATGTCGTGGTCTGGATTCCTATAGCTTCGAGATAATTCGAATGCACTTCACTTATTATGTTGAACTCGGAGAAATAGTGCCAAACTGTTCTTTTTAAAGTTTCATGTGAAACGGCACGTTTTATCGTTGTCTAGTGTTGTATAAAACCGAAATGTTTAAAACGGCTATGATGATGTTTTAGAGTATAACAAATTGTTAGCCACTCGGTCCTATTAACCATGAGAGTGAATTATTGAGGCCGTGTCTGTCTAAAATCCGTTAGATAATGGTGGGATAAATGAAATGTGCTTGACTCATCATAGTCCAGTAGTAGGTCTCAGAAATAAAAATAAAACAATCAACCTCTTTGAAGCATAAAAATTAGTCGGAAATGTCACCACACGGAAAGTACTGATCACATCAGAGAGGAAACCGTCCTACTGTTTGGGTCTGGGGGACTTATGAACTGAAAAGTATTGAAAATTTTATCTTTATTTGATTCTGCTAAAATAAAAAAAGTGACAGAACCCTCTGAATAAGCATTTTCTGTCAGTAAGTATTTAAACTCCATGATGTCAGACAAGCAGTCCACAAAAGAGGTTTCTGACAATATGAATTCAAAGAAAGTTTAGTGATATACTGTAGTCATTTTATTTGACGAAGAAAAGAAAAGTTATTGAAAGAATCGAAAAGAAATTTTTGCTAAATTTCATGTTTTCCCTAATGTTCGAATGGGTATACTGGAAAGTGCTGACTTCTTAAATCCACCTCTACAATGATATTAATTGCCATATCACGTTGCGAATTTTTATTGTATTGATGTTTTATGAGTCTGACCACGGATTGATATCAGTTAGAGAACCATTGAAAGCAAATAGGGGGCACTCGACATTTGTTCCGTCCTAGTTTGGGAATCATCGGCAGTGCTCGAACCCAAGACCTTCTGATTACAAGGCAAGCTGGCATACCATTCAGCCACTGGGACCCGATTTGATGGCCATCTTATGAATTCTAACTTCTACCCATTCATGATTTAGCACGACTACCAGCCAGTGTCATCGGCGGGACATCACGAACTGGTAGAAGTTAAAATTCCTGGGATGACCATTGGGAAATTGGGTCTCATTTGCTGAATAGTATACAAGCTGGCTAGCCTTGTAACCGGAAGTTCCTGGGTGCTTATTGCCGATGATTCCCAAACTAGGACGGAACAACCGCCCAGTATTCCCTGCTTGTTTTCAACGGTTCTCTAGCTGATATAATTCCATGGTCAAACTCTTAAAAACAAAACTAATCCTTACAGACCAACTCTTGAAAAATGGTGCTTTACTCTATTGGGCCATAAATTTTCAAGTATAATGTCACACATATGAAATTGGCCTCGTTTATTTACAATTCAAATAATCAGTTAATAGTTTAGTTGTCACCTTTTCTTAGATGCTTTAATTTCATTCGATTAATTGGTTAGGTTAAAAAGAAAAATCTCTCTAAATTATATAATAGTAAACATAGTCAACTTGAAGTGTCATATTATCACGCATAAATGACCTAAAATTTACTCTGAACCAAGTATGAATGAGAAAATGTCCAATTAGGTCAATCAACTTCGATTCTGGCTAATTTTAATACAATTATATATGTGACAGTAGGTATGCAGAATTCATATAAAAAGCTTGAATTTGTAATCTGCATTTGAAATTCAGCACTGAATGTGACAAGAAAAATCCGTAGTACTGATAATTTTCGCTCATTTTTAAGTATTAATTTTGTTGGGATTTTGTTTGATTGGATGGAGGATTTCATCATGATCTGAGAACCAGATAATCATTAGAAAATCAACACGCAGTTCTGGACAGCTGTTTTCTCCGTCCTATTTTGGGACTGTTCAGCAGTACCAACCTACCACCATGGTTCGAACCCAGGACCTTCTGGTTACAAGACGAGCTCGTGGACCATTGAGCATTTGGGACCCACCAGATCCAATGGCCAGTCCATGGGTTCTAAGTTATGCCAATTCACGACATAGCGCAATCATTTCGCAATGTCTTCTTCGGTAAGTTACTGCCTCATCTTCAACCTGGTGTAGCCTACTGGTGACGGCATTCCCCTAGAACCCCAGGTCACTGCCTGAATAGGGCCAGTCGCTAGTGAGTATTTGTTATGAATTGGTAGAATTTGGAATTCATGAGCCATTGGGTAGGGTGGGTCCCAGTGCCTTGATGATCTACGATCTTTCATTGTAACCAGAGGGCCATGGGTTCGAACCCCGATGGTGGGTGCATGCTGCTGAGGAGTCCCATACTAGGACGGAAGAAACAGCAGTCCTCCCAGCTGGTTTTCCAGTGGTTCTGTAACTTATGCCAGCCCATGATGAAATTCTCCATCCAATTTTCGCTCATATTTAATGCTCTTGGTGAAGAGATTAAAAATAAACTCACTATAATTTTAAGTATGGATCATGTAGTTCTTTGCAGCTAAATGTTTTGTTCATACTAGATTAAGGATACAATCAATCCGTAGATAAAGATAATCCGTGATGTTTTTGAATATTTGTAGTTATATAAAGCTGCAAAAATGACTGTGCTATGTGGTATTTAGTCACACCAACAATATATTTCTATTGAGACCTAGTAAAAACTATTTGATAATATGGATTGCATTCTATTTCCCTCAAAAATATATGAAACAGACTGTACTTAAATGATGTACAGTTCATGGCTGTGTACTTCAACGTCAAATATCTTTCATTTCATATTTTTGACAATACTAAGCGTTACAATTTGGAAGATGTCTTTCCTTTTTTGTTGCTTTTTGAGTTCCATGCCTAACACTCTGGTCACACACACACACACACGAACATACAGAGAAAGTTATCAGTTAGACTATTGCATTTGTTGCTTATGATTATATGAGTTAATCGTCTAACAATCACAGGTGGAATCGAGTAGTCTTTTGGGGTATCGTGTATACCCTAGTCCATCCTTGTTTTATTGTTAGGTTTTTGATCAACGAAATCTCTGTGTAGGGAACCCAACTTACATTTCATCACACTATAAGTTGTACGGGGAACTTTGATATTGAGTGATTGAGATTTAGAACTTTAGATTTTCTTATCATTTGAGGATAAGCTTTGTAGATGAGTAACATTAAGCATTGAAGTTCTTTTTAGATAGAAATTACTACGAATAATATTATATCATCTTATCACGAAACCTTATTTCTTCCCTGAATACCGACTCAGTCAATAATGTCGACTTGTCCCTTACTATTTTCACAGTCTTTGTTAACTTGTGAGGTAATCTTCTCTGGCTAAGATATTTCTTTTGTCAAGTGAAGAAGACTAATTGATGAAAATTTTGAACAGAAACATTACTATAGCGAAAATATTCATTCAGACATCTATAAAACACAAAATATTTGAGCAAAGAATATTCTTTTCGATAAATTCCTCCTCTGGCTCTACAAATATATTTATATATATGTTTATATACATAGAATATTCTAGATTAGTAGTTAATAACAATATTAGTGTTTTTTAAATAATATCGATTTTTTAAGTAAGATCAATGGAATTACAGTTCATTAAAAATGCTTAAATTGTAATAATAAAAATGTAGC